TATCTACCATTACTATTGTGAATGCCACTATGACATATTTATCTTAATCAGACAGTACTTACCATTACCATTATTATTGATAATACTTCTATGGCATAACCATCACAAACAAGCAATTATCTACCATTACTATTGTGAATGCCACCATGACATATTTATCTTAACCAGATAATACTTATCATTACCATTATTATTGATAATACTTCCATGGCATAACCATTATAAACAACCAATTATCTACCATTACTATTGTGAATGCCACCATGACTTTTTATCTCAACCAGACAGTACTTACCATTACTATTGGATATCCCAGGCATGCAAGAGCCAGGTGATGTAAAATCATAGCTGGTTGAGTTTTAACATAATGCATGATTTTAGTCAGTGCTCCTTGACTCCAAATATGAGGATTCTGGTGATAATGTACTACATACATCGCATAAATATCATAAAGCATGTACGGCAACCCAAACGAAATGTAAGTGTTTACTAGCCAATGACTGTAAAAACAAACAAACATATAAATCGTTAGTGATAATTGTACAGAATGGGTTTCTGTGACCAACTGTAGCATATTGCACTTAAACAGAAAAAAAATATTCAGTCAGTATCTTGCTTCAGTTGAATTGTGCACCTTCAACATAAGAAAGATATACTGTAAAATACTTTATTTTAGCTGGAATTAATTTTTCGCTGAAAAGACTTTTTGGGTGTTTTGTATGGATTTAATTTTCACTGTTTTTTACGAGTTGAATGTAAAATACAGGAAAAAAGGTATATTCGCTGGATTTTATCTATTTTCACTGAATCATTCCTTCAGCGAAAATAGCAAAAATGAATTCCAAGTGAAAATAAAGTATTTTGCAGTAGAAGAAGACAAGGTGTTGACGGACTGAACCGATACATTTGTCGTATTAATAATTGTTCGTTCTATTGACAAACATACAACACATACTTAGTCGTAGTGCCGCGTCCTGTTCGATATGGGACTCATAGCGACGTATACAACGCGTGTAAAATACATAGTTTATTTACATGAAATTCGAACATGCGCTGTGCGACGACTACCATGCTTTAATAATAAATTAAAATAAGATATTCTGAGACAAAATACGACAAGACAACTGATAAGACAAAATAATAAGACACAACATGACAACAAGACAAGTGAAATTCAAATATGTAAATGTGATTGGCTCAAGAGTGCATTATTTCTACACCCATACAGTACTGCATGCACACACCTTCAATCATATACGAACGTGACGTACCGTAGTTCCAGCAATCATCTATTTATTTAAATTGAAGTGTTTGCTGATTGGATGATGTCTAACTAACTCTTTAGTATATATTTAATTTATACTCACTACGATATCACAACACCATTGCTGGATTGGTCGATTTGAAATTCAACAGCCACATGAATTCATAAAATGTTATAAAGCGTTAAAAATGTCCACAGGTTTCTTCCATACACTGTATATTTTATAACACGGCTTTGTGGACTTTAGTGTATAAAATGAAAAGTTACTATCTATTATATTGACATCATGTATTAATAGGTATTTTTCATTAGGATCAGATCCATGCATTAAGTGCATTTGCCAAACACATGCACACTATACATGCCATCCTGCGTTATCATAAATCATTCATTACTGATCCACAAATGATCAATGCGAGAGAGTCGTCACCTGCGCACCTGCGTGAATTGAGACCCAAGCGACGATAACAACACAAAGGCTCATGGGTAGACGCTTGTTAGTAAACAATGGCACCCTATAGGTAGGTGGTGACCTAAAACCACTGATACAATACAGACAGAGTTTCTGAAAATGTTAGAATTGTAACTCTAGTGGTCGATTGGTAGCTGCAATATTGTAGCTCTTGGTTTTACTGTAAGTTCGGAGAGTTCTTTTAATTCTTATTAAGGTTATTTCATTAATAGCTGGATAATCAGGAAATGATGGATGAAATAACTGTACCAACGATAAAAAAACCCACAGTAGAACCTAGAGCTTCAGAACTTTAGCTAGTGATAAATCAAGTAAACAAGCTCATCCTCCCATTGTAGAATACTTTATTTTCGCTTGGAATTAATTTTCGCTATTTTACCCGAAGGAATGATTCAGTGAAAATAAAATCCAGCGAATATACACCATTTTTTTCCTATATTTTACATTCAACTCCTCAAATATCAGTGAAAATAAATTCCATACAAAACACCCAAAATGTCTTTTCAGCGAAAATTAATTCCAGCAAAAATAAAGTTTTTTACAGTACCGGTATATCATGTTTACAAGTAAACAACTTATTATGTTCACAGCTGTAGATGCAGGAAATCAACCACTACCATCCACATACCAAATACATACCACCCAAAATACATTATGAATGTGCTATACAATTTAAAGTTATGGCCAGTTTAGCAGTTACCGTGATTGTCTTACCTGTCATAGAGGATATCTTGTGAACATGACATTGCAATAATTATACCACATGGGATTGCCATTATGGCTTGTATAATGGACACACATCTGTAATAAACAATATTGGTACACAAATTTAATTATCAATTGGGAAATGCATGATCACAGTTTTTTTTTTTTTTTTTTAATAAATGTTTTTGTGGCAGGCGACAGTTTTGGACATTGAATTTTTTTTGGACATTTTTTTTTGTGTATGCAAGTTGACACACTGTTGTTTGTAACACCTATTTTTGAAGAATGTAAGGTTGTAGAAGCACAACAATATAAACATGTACTAGTAAAAGTATTTTACATATTTCAAATTATGGTTGAAAACAATTTGACTATGGTCTATGATGCATCCATGGAATTATATACCCATGTAGAAGCTTTATCAATTTTTTGAGTTGACGGCATTTCATATATAATTATCTTTATTGCTTTTGTATCCCTATTAGGATTTTGAATAAAATGCAATACAGATGTGAAGAAAGACAAACAAAAAAACACAAGAAAATAAAAAAAAATGATGAGCAAATTAGGGTAGAAAAAAATAAATATAATACCCGGTAGTAAAATAAATTAGATTGTTTTCCATATTTGTGTTGGTGAATATTTGGTTTACTAATGCATGTACATGACCTTGAGATAGCTATCTTGAGATAGCTAACTATATTGTTTTCAGTTTTTCTTCTCTTGTTTTGAAACAAGTCTCCATGTTGCTATTTGTATTATTGTTTTCTTATCTTTATTATTTAAAACATATTTTAGTTTGTCTTTATTTTTTGCTGAATGTGGGGGTGATAACAGCTGATAAAGTTTTTTTCTTTCTCTCGCATAAAGACCACAAGTTAACAGAAAAAGTTCTTCATATTTAAGTATTGTATGCTCAAGCATCAGTCAACAAGGTCCTCAGAATGTAAAACACAATACAAAATAAACTATGCTCAATAGCGGGACATCCATGGTGTTTTTTTTTTTTTATCAGCATAGAATTTCAGACCACTGATAGAATGCAGCCAGAGCATATAACATACAATGTCCACAAGGTCACAAGTATGTAAGCCACAATACAAAATAAACTATGCATGATAGCGGGGCATCCGTGATATTCTCACCGAAATCATGGCATTTATTCAGACCACAGCTTCCTAAACAAAGTGAACAGATATAATCGAACAAAGTTACCGCAAACTGACGTAAATTACTCACTTTTCGGAAATAATGGCAGAAACTAATTTGCTATTAGCGTAAAACCTTTCGCAAAACGGATGTAATGCCGTCTTGAGAGAAACATAGATTCCTGGAAAAAACAAACACCCTACCAAGAAGGGTAACCATAGTTCCGACATCGTATGCAAGTAAAACACATGGGAAGTCACATGACAATCAGACTTCTGTTTCAGGATCAAAAAATACGAAATTGTATGTACGCCGCGCCGGTTGATTGTGCACTCTGTCGTGTATGCCCTCTAGTGACAGCTCGATAGAAATCTTTCATTCGATGCACCCTATACAGACAAGTATTTTACTTTACAGTATATACAATTTTAATTAATTGCTGTTTACCAAATTTCGCGATTTTCCGTAACTGATGAAATTAAATAAGTTACAGTTATATTTTTTCTTATAGCCAAATCATTTTTGGTATAGTTTATACCTTCATTCTTGAAATCCCACTACCCAGCCGACCACTTTGCCAACCATTGTACAGTAGTTAATTCCAATTCTCTAAAATTAGTGAATATTATTCTCTTCTTTGATAAAATAAAAATGTTAATTTTGACTTCTTGAAACTCGTTCAGCTTTATCTTCACTTTATTCTTAGGAAATAAACAATTCTAAGAGAAATCCACCCAAGCAGTTGTTAGGTTACCTTTCCAGTGTTTCAAGGGTCCACAAATATCTGGAAATGTTATCTTGATTGTACTATGTAAATTTAATTGAATAATCAAGATATACCTCGAGTATGAATTCCATGTAAGACAGGTACACCTCTAGTGTTACGAGTACAACAAACCCAAAGCTACATACAGATATAGACTATTTTGCTGTAGTTTTATGAACAATCAGAATTACTGATATCTCTTTGTACTTCTATCCTATTGGCAGCTCCTTGTAACTGCATCATCCCCTTTTCATTGCGTGGAAAACATACTCTGGCTTGAGCAAATGACCCTACTACCAATCCAATTCAAAACTGCTGAATATTTTTTAAATTTTATATATTTTGACATTCCCAAGATGTATTCTGGAAAAGATGTAATAAGGTTATCACAAAGATACTGCAAAGTAGGCATTCAGACAGTACAAAAAAGTAGGAAAATTTTTTATTGTTTATCAGTTTTACAATATATTTACAAACAGTAAACAGGTTTTAAAAAAAAAGGAAACAGTATCAATATAAAATACATGTTTTTCTAGAAATATTACATGCATGTACTGAGACCCAGAAGTCATGTATTGTAATACATGGTTAAAAGAATATTTAGTTTATGAATACAACTTTGTTCACAAACAAATCTGTCAAAAAAGTTGTATACATGTATTATCACAATCTATATTACTCAAATTTGATTTATAGTTCTAGGTTGTACTCTGAATATGAAAAAATTGCTACTCTTTGGACCACAATAAAATATATAAACCATCAAATTATGCTAAAAGTATTAATCACAGTAGTTCACACTTAAATTCAATGCTGTAATGGTTTAACTCATGGTTGTAGGCAATAATGCTTCCTCAATAAAAGAAATATTACATATACAGTGTTCTCACCAGGAATTAAATATGGGGAATTGAAATTATAATAATAATAATAACTTTATTGCATCCTTAAAAATACTGTACAATGTTTCTATCATGTAATAGCAATAATTATTAGTTGTGATAATGAGATAAAGCAAGTGTTACATATCAAATGGCATTTTCCTTTCTTGGTTGAAATGCGTTATGAATATGAATATATGCCTATCTTTTTATTATTACATCATATGTCTATCATCTTTTGAAGTCATCAAGAAATTAAATTTCTGGAGATCATCCTGTGTTTCATGTGGAAACGTAATGATTTGTTGGCGTATTAATTTATATTGTGAGCATATCATAACAAAGTACAGTTCATCTTCCATTTCATTCCGTGTACATTGTTTGCAAGTTCTATTATTATGAGATAATTATTCAGCTATATGGAACTAGAGACATATATTAAGTACTGTAAAATTTGTATTACAATACAATGCAAATTGTTCAAAAAGAATGAGTACGTTTTGTTCCCTTTATAGTGGAGACAGTGTACTCAAATGTTTATTATGTTTGATTTTTATTCTACACTCATGAATTGTCACTTGTATTTTCTTTCATTTATGTGAGACAAAAAACATGAGACAAAAAATTAACCCATAATGAGACAATTGTTTCATGTCTGATGAGAACACTGCATATATACCTCAAGCTATCTATACACTGGGTCTGGGTTCCCTGGTTGCTTAGCTACTAGATGCACAGTGGGTGGTGGGATTTTTTTGATTCACCATCAGATAAAAGAAATAGGCATATATTTAATATACAAGTATATATTTAATATACATCAGTATCAATTTTGTTCAGTTTGATTCTGTTTTGTAGGCAGCCACAAATCCTTTTCATATACCGGAAATATATATACCAATATAATAATTCTTTACAACTCCAACTTTGGAATAAGCTACTTCACTAGTTATTACATTTTATTATTATTTTTATTTGTTCTGTTCTTGCTATGGATCTTAAGGCCTGATTCAAAGTATAATAATACGCACACAAGGAAGTTAGACATGATCTTAGTGTTTGAACATCTAAGTACGTCTATTCAATTTGGAAAAAGCTGCAGCAACCCCCAACACAAACAAGCAGCATAGTAACTAGAAAACGCAAAGTCTTATGTACTTGAGTGGTACTGCCATGGTGCATCGTATTATGAAAACAATCCTTAATTAGAATTGTAAATGAATATTTTAAGTTTTCAACTGATGTCAACCATTACCTATATGTCTTTTTCAAACAACTTTTAACTAATTATTTCAAACTATATTGTAAAAAATAAACATTGCACTCAATATTTGTGAAAATTCATTAGTTAATGCAGACGAAATAAGTTAAATAAAATAAATTGAATGAACCTCTGTTGAGTCATCACATTTATGTTTTCACACAAAGAAAAAGCTCTAACTTGAAAGCAAAACTCTACTTAAGATCTAGAATGTATTGCACTTCATAATGGATGTTTTATACACCATCTTATACAAAATACATTTAGCAAGGCTGTACATAAATAATAAAAAAGAAACATGGTGAAAAAAAGAAATGACAGGATCTCCATATTATGCACTATATTTAACTTTTAACAAAATGATAATACATTTAAATTTGAAACTGTTACACCCATTTTAATTATGAGCATTCTTATTGAGTGAATTGTTATGCAAATTAGCAATTATCTGTGCTTCTTTTCAGTGCACATCCTAGAACTTTAAAAAAAATAGCTCCTAGACGCTTTGACCTTTTGTTTTGAAAATTTCACAAATGATTGACAATGTGTTTATCTTCATAACACCGTCAGGGCATTGTTTTTGGTTGAACAGTGTTACAACAATCGTACAGACAACTGGCCTGGGTGTTAATTTATGCATAAACTTGAAGTACCGGTAGTGAAATTTGAGCTGCTGTCCTGCAAAATTGACAACTGGTAGACAGTCTTCAAGACGGCACTTTTTCATAGTAAATTTTGACAGGAAACAGAAGCATGGTTTAGAATCTAATTTAGTTTAAATCACTTTTGACCAAAAAAGCACATTTCTGTGCATATTTCAAACTACAGTGTCCATAAAAAAAAAATACTAACAAAATTTTAAAATTCATTCACGCTTTCCGAAAATATATAGTTTTGTGGACAAGGGAGGTCATCTTGGTTTCCTATTTGACTATTTAAAATACCTGTCAGGTAAACTGCATCTCTACCTGAAATGCATGAAATACCCTCACTTAATCGAAATTGCCTATCATCAAATGTGGACAGCACATAATTAAGCATGGAAATGTCCCCCAAAATACTTTCGCGTTTGTTGAATCCCACGCGATGTTTGACGCCACTACGGCGCTATGACCTTTGTTTGTCCTGTTTTTACGTTAGATTTCACGCATAACGCGTGATTCTCCCAGTGAACGGAAAATGGTCTATTGCCATTTTAGTAGGAATATTCCAATGCTCCAAGAATTATACTGATCAGGAATATTTGTTTCACATCCGCACTGTGAAAACTATAACTAGATACAACTTAACGTGTTTTCAAAAGACTGTCTGATTGATTTTTGTTACCAGAAGATGCCACAGACTGGTTTATGTTTCGGAGTGTCCGGGAAGCAGCTTTTATAATCATTGAATACCAAAAAACTTGGAATGATAATATGAGCATGCATCCAATATTGCAATGTAGAGGAATGCTGCTAGGTACTTGCCACACAGAAAGGTTGCGACCATGTCCATATATGTAATAGATATATGGAAAAATTAAAATTCGACAGATAAAATATGTGATGAGTATTGTGATTCCATTGATCAAATATAGGTTGTTTTTTGTCCGTCCAAGCTGTGGAGAAAAAACAACATTATGATTATAAAAACAAGTATAGTAATAAATCCTAAAAATATTACATGTGTATTACTGATGTTACAATTTGAGAACTATTTGATTGATTGACACATCAGAATAAACAATAAAATAATCATGAGAGCACTGGTTTCTTTGATGTCAACACATCACCTTTTTACCACCAGACTTTCTCGTCCAAATTTGTCTGCACTTTTTTTTAATTTTCTTCAATATTTCTGAAAACGAACCCTAATTTTAGAGCCAACAGGCACAATTTGAGTAAATTTTCAGCTTTTACTCAAAATATTTGGCTATTTTGTTTCTATCTTTTAAAGGAAAGTGCAGACTATAAAGACATTTTTGTAAATTCAAAATAGCCACATTCCATTTTAGCAAATTTGACTCAATGCATGAATTAACAACAACTTTATTTTGAATTAGCGACATCTTGAATTATGGATTAGCTATATTAAAATAATGATGTAAAATTTAGGATTATTTAGCTTACTTATTTTCTTACTTTAAATACTCGTAGTTAACAAATAGGTTCCAATACTGTAGGCTTTACATATAAAGCTAAGAAAAAAATTATCTGTTTCTTGTTTCCGCGCACATCATTTTGAACTATGCACCTCGGATGTTTTCTTTACTTTCTAAAGCATTCCAAAATGCGCTTGTACTCGCACTTGTCTCAAATTTCCCTCACTTTAGCTCAGTATTCAAAAAAAAAAAAAAAATGCCTCATCGCCTCATTTTAAAATTTCCATGAAACGAGAAATAGAGAATCCAAAGCCAAAGCTAAAATCATGCAAATCTCGAATCCACTTACCACATTCAAGACAGCTCTAAGGCAAAGAAATGGGTTGGCCAACTCCATAGTGTAGAAACATCCAACAAAGAAATCACCTTTGTCATTTCTTGGATACTAAAAATAATTAAAATCACATAATTGTAAGTACAACACAAAACTCAAACTAGAATAAAAATGAAATAAAATATTATCCTACAATGATATACATAAAGTTTGATGAATATAACATGCAGATCAAGAACAATATTTGACAAACAATGAAAGAGCACCCTCTACATCTAAGTTTACCATTTCTTTTAAATTTTTTTCTGAGAAGAAAATATTGAGGTACATATTCCTGTACTTATCAGTCCACCTACAGGGGTTGAAATTAAAAATTAAAGTTGTATTTCCACTGTGGAATAAATTTGGCTTCCTTAGCAAGATTAATAAATACATACATCAGTTGAAATCAAATTTACATTTTTGGTTCATTATATTGATTACATGGGGACAAAATTAGCATATTTGGTCTACCACATTTGGCAAGATATTAAAAACTTGATATCTTTATTTACCTATCCATAGGGACAACCAATTTCTATACTGTCAAATCTTTATTTTCGCTTGGAATTAATTTTTGCTATCTTCACTGAAAGAGTGATTCAGTTAAAATAAAATCCAGCAAATAAACCTTTTTTCCTATATTTCACATTCAACTCGTCAAAAATCAGTGAAAATAAATTCCATACCAAAATACCCCAGAAAGTCTTTTCAGAGAAAATTAATTCCAGTGAAAATAAATAATTTCACAGTATTTACCTGTGTCAGATACAATATTCATGTCTGGGATAGGTGGACAGACCTTATTTTTGATCTCTGACATAGAGGAGGAGCTTATACGTGTATACCCGGTACTTACAAGAAGAATTGGAAACGCAATGAAAACTAATGCCAAATGATGAGTGACTATCAATACATTATTCCGTATATAGTGAAATATGGTAGACGATAATCCAGTGGTCTTTACCAGATGAGGATACTTAGATGTGTGGATGATAAACATGGCGTAAATATCATACAGCATATACGGTGCTGCAAATGCAGCATAACAGTTGGTTAACCAGTGTCTGAAATATTAAATAAGATAGCTGCATGCAATGATGTGTATATATATATAGTCTAGTTGTTGGTTTCTGGCTGCAGTATGAGTTATTTTTATAAAAATACTTTAGTTATGTATTTATGATTATGAAATCCACATGTAAATATTTTGGTTTGTTGATTTTCATGCATAGACGTACCTCTGGTACAAGACATCATCTTGACAAGCATTTGCAATTACTAAGCCAGATATCGAAGCTAATGTTGCCTGTATACCAGATACACACCTACAAAAAAAGCAAAAAATATAAATAATTGAAAATACTGAGGCAAAGCAAGACAATGTAAAAAAAATAATTACAAATATATATTGTAGAAAACAATCTACCAAAAATAATTTATTACAATGCTTCTACTATCCAATACACCATAAGAAGTTTACTACAAATTGTTTTTATTTAGAGCAAAACATGAAAATTGTTTGCAAAATCATGTAACATATTAATGGGACTTGATGAATCTGAATTTATTATCCAGAATTTTGGCCAAATTTGGAAGTCTAACTGTCTTTACTGCAAGCTAGCACAAAGTGAATAATATCTGATGAAATAAAAAAATTGTAATCCTAATACTTACCTGGTTTTGAAGTGAATTGAACAATTCTTTTATTAACCATTTGCTCTCAATAATTCTGGTTAGTTTAAAATTATATTAGTTTTTACTGTTGAGTGTAGAAGGTAGCATCATTTGTTGTTGCCAAATTGTTAGCCAAAGCCCAGCAAATTATAAAGTAGATTTGCATACAGGGCCTCCACTTTTTAATAATCTCCTAGTTCCCTACCAGTAATATTGATATACCGGTATCAGGTAATGCTTTCCCTCACAGCCAAAAATAATGAAATTTTATTTTCGCTTGGAATTTATTTTCGCTGAAGAGAATATTCCGTGAAAATAAAATCCAGCGAATATACTTTTTTTCATTTATTTCACATTAAACTCATCAAAAATCAGTGAAAATAAATTCCATACAAAATGCCCCAAAATCCTTTTCAGCGAAAATTAATTCCAGCGAAAATAAAGTATTCCACAGTATTATTGATAATTGCATATGTGTTAATGTCTTTTTTTAAAGATTTGTTTTGGTCAGGATTTGAACCAAACAAATGAAAATAAAACTTTCTTGAAAAAAGTAGAGATACACAATTTTTTTTTTTAAATTTAAATAAAAATAGAAAGCATACATTACTGTTGTTTGTCAGTGAAACGTGGAACCAAAATCTGCAGAGCAACTCACTTAAATTACAATCCTATATATAGGAATGCAATTTAATTACAATTTACTTAAATTAACTAAAATTTAATGTAGTTCAACAAAATTCAACAGGTCTTGACATTCGTATACAACATAAACCCTAAACCTAATGCCAAGACATATTACTCAAAATAGTTCTGTTTCCGTGTTTTAGAGCAGTCTCTCTGGTACTATTTTCACGAAAAAATTAAAAAAATGTTATTTACCAACTGCTATAAAAATTGTCAAAAACCGTTTCAAATCGAAATCAGTTTACATCCACAGCCCCTCTATAGTAGGTTCATACCCTATGTTTCGAAATCCCCATGTTCCGAAATCCCTATGTTCCGAAATCCCTATGTTCCGAAAAATGAAAAAAAAAAAAAAAATTACATGATAATTAAAAAACCACAACGATCGGTCACTACTGAGGGCAGACTGGATATTAACGGGCCACCGATAGAGGGCGTATATGTCGTCATTACCTCAGCGTCTCTATTGACCAGAATATGGAAAGCTCACATTGATAAAATTTGCAAAGTTATTGCACCAGAAATGGTCATCAAATGGCGCTTATTCATGAGACATTTGCAACGTTAGCTTTACCTCCCCGCTGCCCTGAGTGTCGGAACACTAATACAGGAACCATTTAGTACATTAGATTTCGGAACATAGGGATTTCGGAACATAGGGCTTTCGGAACATAAGGATTTCGGAACATAGGGATTTCGGAACATAGGGCGGTCACCCTATAGTCTATATAGAGGGACTGTGGTACATCAGTGGCTATGGCCAGGGCAACACCCATATATATAGTAATTTCCGGGATATACTTCAAGTTCCTTTTACAGCCATTTTGCCTAATGTAGCTCTTTTTTTAAATATATTTTAGTAATACCCAATAGAACAGAGATGATATACTGTTGTTCATAGCTGGTTAATAGTACTCTTGCCCTGCATGCCATCGCCATGATTCAGGATTTTAGTTTTACCGCGAATATTGTCGACAGCGAAGTGACACTTTAGTCGGTAATTACTTACTTAACGGCGATTGTGTTGTTGATCAGGTTGTTGTTATCGACAGACTTTGACAGGTTCATTAGTACATTCCTGCATAGGTAGAAACGTCCCGGGAAAAACGCGCTTCCAACTAGGAAACACGACAACAACATCGTTTGAGCAGACTACATTAAATATTTCGCATTCAGGTCAAAGTTCATACGAAAAATTAAAACATTTGTTTGAAAAATAGCTCAGAAACAAACCCATATATGTAGGAATGTATATCAGTCATATAACTGAAAAATGCATCTATTTTTTTCCGGAGATGTAACCAAAAATATGAGTGAAAAAGTAAGACAATTGGAGTAAACATTAGTAAGCAAACATACAAACCGGAAGTAGTCCAAAACAAAGGAAATACACAACAACCGCACGCAACTTTTTACGATGTTTTACTGGATGTTCTCAAACGTCTGGAATTGATGGGATATTGGTAAGAAACGCAAGTTAATGTGAAAGACATGTTTATTAAGCTGAGCCTCGTGAAGGCAATTTACCGTCGAGTTACTGGAGCTTTACATGCCTTTGTTGTTTGTGTTTGAACATTGTGGTTGTGTACCAAAAAGAATGGCCCATTCCATTTTCTATCCACATGCTTTTAAATTATTACCGATGTATTAACAAAATTATTAGTATTTTTCTTTGAAAGATAAACTGCTCAATTTCCTGGGATACATTTTTTACAAAATCATTGTGGATAGAAAATGGAATGATCGCGAGCACTGAAAAGTATCCTAATGTCTAAGGGGTCCGCCATTTAAAAACAGGGGGGGTATTTGTTGAAAAAAGAGTTGTGACGGAAAAGTCCAAAACATTAAACGATTGCATAACGTAAAAGTAAAAAAAAAATATCAAGATTTTAAATGGAAAACTTTTTTTAGAAGGACTTATAATTTCACGAGTGTGCATGCATGGATTCGTCCATCTGTAAACATCTGTATCTCATGCACATGACATGCCTGGACCAATCACATTCAAATGTCACACATATGTCATTTGTTGTTTGTATTTCATGTTTGTATTTCCAAGGATACAACAAAGATATTATTATTTTGTGAGCTGTTCAAGATAGTGAACAATTCATCCAAGTTCTATGTTTCAAGAACAAGATCTATGTTGTGTATGGACAGATTTCATTCAAAAGTGGTACATTAACATTACGTGACATTAATGCACATCACTTTGTTTGGTATTTGGATTCAAAATGGCTGACTGGCGACCATTTTTTTCAATGAATGCTGTTCCAGAGTTGTATCTCTGACATGCCTTGATTGATCATATTCATACTTCACACATGCTTCATACACCATGTCACACATGCACTTGCATGCAAGATAGACAAATATTGTAAAATGGAAAAATCATCAAAACAAAACATTTCTGCCATTCCAAAACCATGCAGTTTTAATCAAATTTTGCACATGAGTGATACATCATTAAAATACCTGGCTGGTTTATAGTTTTGTTGACTATCGCTAAATATGTCATGGAAGTGACTTTGTTCCTCTTTGATACAGAGAAGACAAAATACACATGTACAATGCTGGCATTTATGATTATTTTAATTTTATAGAATGAAAAGAGAAACCTTTGATATAAATTCTATGTCTGTCATACCACCGTCCAGTCAGAGTTCAGTTATGGCTACCTCATTACCTCCACCACCACCATCTACCACATCTGAATCAAGTGTTAGAGAGATGTTGAAAGAACTACATCAACTGATAATACAAACACAGGTTAGTACCTACTGTAAATTTTTCTACAAGTCGGGAAATCCAACATAAAAACATCGATTCCCACGACTCTACAAAATGTGTACAATTTTGGGAAAACCTATGCTAATATACAACAATGAAAAAAAAACTCTGCATCTCAGTAACATTTGAATTATAGTGAATAAATAATGATATACTAGTCACAATCCTATCCTTCAGGTGGCATGCTCTGAATAATTTGATTTATCTTTGTGCAATGCAGTACATTAGTTGTTACGGTAATTGAGATTGGAGAAAATGAAGCTTCATACTCAATAATTGAAATTTACGCTCACCCTTATGAAATGTATGTGAAAATAAAATAACTAAGCAGCTTGTAATCTAAATAACTGTGGTTCTTTTTTTTAATTCTGTGCTTGTAAACACTAATAAAATTTACATGAATTTGTTTTTTCACTGTGACTCCCTGTTTTAATGACACCGGAGAAATATTACTAAATTGCTTGATTTTTCCAAGCACAGAAACATGTGTTCCATGAGCAATAAAACCAATAGTTTTTAAAAAGTTTAATAAAACCAAATCTCCATGACTTTACAAATTAAACCACAGTCTCAATAAAAAAAATAGTTATGGTACGTTCGCAAGTTATACTCTTTGTGTGAACTTGGAAACATAGATGGCACCCAATTGTCAAATTTTGATGAAATTACTGCTATATAATATAGAAATAATGTATAGTGAATAGCTCTACTATTTAGGGATGAGGCAGTTGCCCTTGATATCTCAATTGAAGTTCACGCCCTCATACTGTCCTTGTTTGTTTGTTTGATAGGAAGAAAGAGCCAAAGGGGAACACAATTTATCCAATATAGCCAAGACTCATGAACGAATGCAGTATGAGCAGAAAGGTAAACACACCATATACAGTAAGAGTGCCTTCTCTTTCAGTTGAACTCATTTCAAAATTTGAACTTTGATCAAATTTTAAGTAAATCTAGAGTAAGAAAGCTTACCACAATAACATAATTAAAAAAATCACTCATGGTTGAAAAAAGTGAATGTTGACTATTTATTTTAAGGCCAGACTTTTTTTATTTCTTGTTTCTCGAGTTTTTATAATAAAAATTTTTTGAGGAGGGCGAAAATAAAATAAAATTAATTCTTTTTTTCCATTAGATTTGTGTGATTCTCAAAGAATTGTAAGTGAGATCATTGATCGGAGAAAAGAAATGAAATACAATTTTATTTCATGTATAATCTGGTTGGCAATGTCACCAATTGTGGCACAATTTTCAGCATTAATGAGGGATTTCTCAGTTTTTGACGGCAGAGTTTCATGCCGTAGTACGGTAGTCTCAAGCAGCACGCAGTGAGGTCAAAACCCAAGATTCACTGTCAACTGACGCGCATAAAGTATAGATTTGCACTTTGGTACTTTGATCATGATACTCCCATGAAAATGCAACTTGGATTTGTTAGACTGCGGGCGAAAAAAAATGAAGATAAAAATAAATTTTTTTGGCAATAATTGCACTTACAAGTCAGCGGGCACGAGAAATTACGCTGAAATAAACTTTTATTTTTATTTCATTTTCGGCTCCTGTTCATTCGCGAAACAAGGAATAATAAAAGTCTTGCCTAATCAACATTTTACACTGAAAACAGGTAAAGCATGTTTATACTTAGAAATACACTTTATAAGTCCAACTGTTTACATTTTCATTTTCATTCAAATTGAAACAAAGCAAAATGAAACGATAGCCAGCAAGTCATCTTTTTTTATTCCATAAATTAGAATTTATTACAACAGCCTACCTCAATGCACATGCTCATACAGTGTGTAACTTCATTTATAAGTACGTTATGATTACAACACATCTGTCTTTGGTGTATGATGATTTTTGTAAAGTGTGCTTGTTTCTTCCTTTGTATGGTAGGCCAATATAATAATATTATGACTGTTTTCTTGCAGTATCACCATATTTTAAACAGAAACTGAGAGGACTTTATAATACTGCCATGGCAGATGCTGAGAGTGAAGCTGAGTAAGCATGATTGTTTATTTTTCAATGTAACACCATACACATAGATAGAACCTACGGCACACCTGATTCTCAGTGAACATGCAAACCACTGTAGCACATCACCAGACAAACAGCGTGTGATGTCATTCAGATATTAAAAGCATTTCAAAACATGGATGAATAGTGACAATGACAATCTGCATCAGGTTCTTTGTGGTTTTAAGGTAGAGATGCAGTTTATTTGGCTTGCTTTTTAATTGAGTAATTAGACAATGAAGATGGTATTATATATCCAACATGTTATATATTTTCTGAAAGCTTATTATACAAACTTTGTAAAACTTGTCTTTATTTTAAATATCCAGAATGCGTTTCTGATTTTGGGTCAAAAATATGCTTTTTTGGACAAAAGTGGTTTAAAAAAAATTAGCTTAAAAAGTTCAAGTCCGTTTGTGGGTAAAATTACATCACTGGATACCTTGGTATACTACTAATTCAAATGCGTCCACTCATCTCTCTAACGACTTTCAAAGTCGCACAGCATGACCTCAAAGTTCACTCTTTTCTATTTTTGCATAATTTATATATCCATGTTAATTGCGGACTTGTTATTTTTGTTCCACTCGCCGTAATAAACTGTCCGGACGCATTTTAAAGGGGGAACACCTTGTCAATAATGTGTGAAAATTTCGAGGCAAATGGCCAAAGCGTCTATCAGCTATTTTAATTTAAAACCCAAGAATTCACCAAAAATAGAAGACGAGAAAAAGGCTAATTTGCATATTTGCGCGTTAAACCGGGAATTACTGCTTTGTCATACTTTCTAGACTATTGAAATTGAAAGTTGACGTATAGACATAGACATTTTATGTAAAATCGTTGAACCAGAACAACTGCTCTTGAAGATATAAATCAGAAACACGTCATTCATACCAGTGTTTT